ACAACAACAACAACACAGCAGACATCATTAACTGAGAGATGAAACCACATGCAAAAACCCTGTTTCGATATTCTACGACCACTTTACATGAAAACATCCTTTGACATAAAAACTTGCATGTTGTATTATATTTAATTGTATGTTAGCATCCTTCAGAATTGTCCTGATATCACCATTGATGTGTCACATCAACTTTCCAGACCATTTAAAACATGAGATACAGCTGAAGGATCAAGAACAGTCTCACATCATGTTAAGGAGACGGTCAATGAGGTTCACAGATCAGGAATTATTTTCTTTAGGGACGTCGATCGTGCATCATGGTCATAAAATGAGTTCAAAATGAGTTGGATAAAATGAAATTCAAACTTCCAGAACAAGTTAGTATCCAATACAAACAACAGAGATAATATACTACTCACAAATGGGTACCATACGTGTTGGTATGGCTCATATATTAACAAAGGAAGGAGGCAGGCTGATGCCTGCGAGCGTAACGGAACGAACGTAGCCAGGAAAGCGGAATCAGCCCCTTTGGACTGGGTCGATTAGTTGGGCCGGGGATGCGGGGGCGGGGCCCCGCGGTACGATACGGGGTATTTAAGTAAATTAATACCTTGTAGGGTTATGATATAAATACATGGTGTATTGACGTATTGAGTAAGATTCATAATAAAATATATTCCTCAGCCGCTGTGGACGTAGCCACATTGCCGAACCACGTAAATCTTGTGTTGTTTACTTTTCTCATTTTTAATTCGTATGTCATATTGTCATCTTCACTCAACAATACGCATTCATCAATGATACTATGTTCATCTACGAGAAATAGACATAACCTAATATAAATATTTGGTAGATATAAACAACAAAAAATAATTATTGGCACCTTTGTTTTTTGGTGAATATGAAGAACAAAAGCTCGATCTTAGAAAATAAATAAATAAATACCTTCACAATCGATTCCTCAGAATATTTCACAACGACGGACCACTTTGTTCGCGGGAAAAAAGGCAAGTTCGGAGTTTTTTTTTTTTTTCAACAAAACACATGTTTTTATAATGTGGAGTGATAAAATACAACTGACTCGAAATTTCTCACCCTAAAAATGGCTCAGATTCATAATACCGATTCATAATGCCAGTAAGGAAACACAAGACCTCAACTGTAATAGGAGTTTTCTTTTTTTGTCATCAATCTTGCCAAAATAACATCCATTAATGAAATGATCTAATCACAATCACCAACCTAAAACATAAAACCTCTCTGAGGACAAACATCAAACACCTAATGCTCAACAGCAATCGTATACATAAAAGTCCAAACTTTCGTAAATAAGTTGCGCCAATCAATCATTAAAACTTAATATCACCTGCATCAAAGCCTTCGGGTAGCCATCGTACTCCAATTTCACATTCAGACTGTTGCAAATAGCCCTAAATTTAAGCTTCAGGGAGGCCATGGTATCCGAGATTGTCTCGTTTTTGGGCTCCAATATGGGGTGCTTCTTGAGCAGCTCATCCATACGCTGGATTCGGCTCGAGACGAAGCCCAAGTCGACCCAAACTGTAGATCTCCAGACGTCGGCGCAGCCTATGTAGAAGCCTAATTCTTCGTCTACCTCGAAACCCGTCTTGAGGCCCACTTGTCGGCCCTCCTCTTTGCCAGCGATTAGGTTGTCGGCGTGGCCCTCGCCGTAACCCTCTTTGAAATGGGTCTCCTCCAACCAAGTTCAAAGAGGACGCGAAGATATCTTTGATGTCGCCGTCCGTGCAGAGGCCGCTATAATAATTCCTGCTTTATCAATGGAAAAGGCAAGTTTGGAGTTCGCCGGTAAAAAACACGAGCGGAGTTTGCCGGAGTTTTCCCCGTCCATCTTCCACTGAAAATCTTCACCACTGTCTTTCGCCGGATTTCTTCACGCCCGTTGTTCACCGGATAAAATTATATCATTTCAATTAAAAAAGAATTTAATCTTAGAGTTTTATCAATATTTTGTTTTCCTTTCATTATCATTACAACCAAAATATAAATGTATTACCAAGAAATTATTTATCATTACAACCAAAATATAAATGTATTATCAATAAATTATAAAATAATGTATTTACAATTAAGTTGTACATTAAGTTGCAACTCAAATTGACTTTATAACATTACTCTAATCATATTACATCTTGTGTTGGGCTAAGTTCGACCCTACGCGTAACTATACTGAAGTTTATCAATTTTGAGATCAAATTACAAAAATAAGGACATGACCATCATACTCACGTACGTGAATGTATGTTTGATGAAATTATAAAAATAAGGATATCATTGCAGATGAAGTGTTCTCTTGTGTTTGATGAAATTATAAAAATAAGGATATCATTGCAGATGAAGTGTTCTCTTGTGTTTGATGGTCTATTATGATAATTTTGATGTTAATACCATTAAATAGCCATCAAATTTTTAATTTTTTTCAGTACAATAAAAGAGGCCGGAGGCCCAAAGGCTACTAGACTAGGACCGGACGTAGATAAGACACCAATCATGATCAAGCCACAATCTCATTCATGCAGAATGAGAAGACACTCGTTGCAGCCCGCGTAGAAATAAACTCACTATATGGTCCACCGCAAAGTTAGCCTCCCTATGACGTGTTGGATCTGGATGCTCCAGTCCCTCTGAGTCATGCTACGAATAGCCGTAACAAGCGAGGCATGAGCCCCACCAATGTCCTCGGTACCAAGGACCATTTGCGTCACACATTGACTGTCAACTTCGGCTAACACTCGACAAATCCCTTGGTCCCAAGCAAACTGCAATCCCTGGAAAAAGCCCCAAGATTCGGCACCAGTGATAGTGCAAGCGCCAATATTCATGAGGAATCCCTCAACCCACATCTTCCCATCTCATCACGAATTAATCCACATGCACTACTTCGACCCATATTTTTATCAAAAGCACCGCCAGTGTTGACCTTGAACCACCCCGATGCGAGTGGAACCTAATGCATCATCCGAGTGGTATGAATAGGGCCTCCAACCTTCTCAAGCGCTGTGACGACATGACCATAACTCCCGGCCAGGTTCATCACCTCCCGGCATCTCGAGTCGCAGCTTAGGGTATGCCTACTGAAAATCCGATCGTTTCTCCATCCACATGATCACCATGTCGTGATAGCAAACATGGAACCCCAATTATCAAACGTCCCCAACTACTCTTGCTAAATTCATTCGTAGCCATGGCTTAAGCGGCGGCTGGAAGAACTCGCGGTGGAAGCGGCGGCTGGAAGAACTCGCGGTGGAAGTCCGGCGACAGCAGTCGGGCCCAGAGGGTTTTAGTGTCTAGGCAATCGCGTAAGACGTGTAACAACGACTCAGTCTAGCCGCACATGTCACAAGCCGCAGAGGCAGACAGATGCCGGCGAACCCATTCTAGGTTAGTAAGAAGTCTTCCCTTAGCAGCTAGCCACAAAAAGGTCTGGATCCGTTGGGGTTCCGACGTAACTTCCAGAGAGGCTGGTCGGTGTCCCGCACTGAGTATGATAAGGCCTCATAGGCTGTTCGGGTTGAAAATTGATCGTCGGGCGAAAACCGCCAATACATGCGATCTGCACTCACTGTCGCTTTTGGGGGAGCATGCTGGTGATTCGAAGGACCACGGAATAGGGAAGTATGCCATGAAAAGCTATTCCATTTCCACCAACCACCGGGGTCCACAAAGCTAGCAACCGAGAAGTGAAGCATCTCGTCTGGCGGAAGTCGAAGAACGTACCGTATTAGGGAAGGTCCAAACAAAGCCATGGATCAAGCCAGAACCGGGCCGTTACTCCTAGACATGGCCAAAAACTGGGCCGGGTCACCGGGTTGGGTTTCGACGACCCTGAACCGGCACGGACCTAGGGTCGTGTCGGGTCCATGACCCGACGGGCCGGGCCGAGCCCGACCCGAGTTTGGACCCGGCCACATAAAAAAAAATAAAAAAAAAAAGAAAAAAATAATGTATTTTTCTGTGCCGATAACTACCCGACGCGGCCCGCCGGGTCAAGGTCGAAAAAAACATGACCCTTGACCAGCCCGTTTGAAATCAATGTCGGGCCCGGACCCGTGGTCAACAAGTTTGATCGGGCCGGGTCGGTACCGGTTTCGAGCTGGGTGGACGGGCCAGGTGACCCGTGCCATGTCTATTTACTCCATCTCCAATTACCCACCCAACTCCTCGCACGACATTAGGCCCAAAACACAAATTTGGGCAGACCACCTTTTTTAAAAATCATCTTTTTTAGCAATTTTGACATGTATTTTTACTATATACTCCTAAATCACTTTTACCTTTCCACTTCCCCCAATTCACAATTCACTAGTATTGTGCCCGTGCAAATGCACGAGACATATAAAAAGAAAGTTGGGAGTCCATAAATGAAGCATAAACCGTACAAATAAAAATTATATAGAACATCAACATGAGAAAAAGTATACGTCGTACAAATAAAAATTCTATATTATTCAATGTTTATTTAAATACTTCTATTTATGTGTGTGCGTGCTAAATTTATTATTATAGCTAAAATTGTTTTTATTATTTGTAAAAGTTTATATGTTCGGTTTATCATCACATATTAATATTTTCAACAAAATAGAATCACAATCATATATCAAATCTATTAATAATTGTGCACATTAATATTTTGAATTACATAAAATTACATATAGTATATTAATCTGTTCTTCTCATATTTTCTCTGGTATAAGTATGCATAAGAAAGGATCTATGTATAAGTATTACATATATGGTGTGATCGGTTGGATGGATTGGGTTTGATATTGACCGCGCGTCGCGACGCGGCAAATTTAAATTTATAAAAGTTTCCTCAACTAACCTCTACTAACTAGTAGTAGCGGCGAGTAAGGGTCGATCCCACGAGGAGCAGGAATTAAGTTGTGATAATTTTTTGTATTAATCGAACTAAATCTAAGAAAGCGAGTAAATGGGGGGGGATTGGATTGATAAAAATAAAATAGTAAAATAAAATAAAATTAAATAAAATAAGAGAAGTCCAGTTTTCGGTTCAGTTATCACCCA